TGCACTAACTCAAAACTCACGCGAGCGCAAGACGAGGGGGTTCTATCCCACTTCTGATGTTATGGCTCGACAATAGTCGCTCCTATTCAGGACGATATGCATCTCGGAGGAATCAAATTTGAAGGGCGGGAAGGGGGATCGTGTCTTGCAAATTGACAAACACTTTAAGAATTTTCAAACTCGGATATTTTGAGGGTTCCGACCCCGACGACACCTCACCTGAATCGGTCGCTACATGTACACCAAAAATGTTGGATCAAAAATAATTTTTGGCACAATAAACACAATTCCGGAATTGCATTAAATCAAAACTCACGCGAGCGCAAGACGAGCGGGTTCTATCCCACTTCTGATGTTATGGCTCGAAAATAGTCGCTCGTATTCAGGACGATATGCATCTCGGAGGAATCAAATTTGAAGGGCGGGAAGGGGGATCGTGTCTTGCAAATTGACAAACACTTTAAGAATTTTCAAACCCGGATATTTTGAGGGTTCCGACCCCGACGACACCTCACCTGAATCGGTCGCTACATGTACACCAAAACTATTGGGTCAAAAACAATTTTTGACACAATGAACACAATTCCGGAATTGCACTAAATCAAAACTCACGCGAGCGCAAGACAAGCGGGTTCTATCCCACTTCTGATGTTATGGCTCGACAATAGTCGCTCCTATTCAGGACGATATGCATCTCGGAGGAATCAAATTTGAAGGGCGGGAAGGGGGATCGTGTCTTGCAAATTGACAAACACTTTAAGAATTTTCAAACTATGATATTTTGAGGGTTCCGACCCCGACGACACCTCACCTGAATCGGTCGCTACATGTACACCAAAAATGTTGGATCAAAAATAATTTTTGGCACAATAAACACAATTCCGGAATTGCATTAAATCAAAACTCACGCGAGCGCAAGACGAGCGGGTTCTATCCCACTTCTGATGTTATGGCTCGACAATAGTCGCTCCTATTCAGGACGATATGCATCTCGGAGGAATCAAATTTGAAGGGCGGGAAGGGGGATCGTGTCTTGCAAATTGACAAACACTTTAAGAATTTTCAAACTCGGATATTTTGAGGGTTCCGACCCCGACGACACCTCACCTGAATCGGTCGCTACATGTACACCAAAAATGTTGGATCAAAAATAATTTTTGGCACAATAAACACAATTCCGGAATTGCATTAAATCAAAACTCACGCGAGCGCAAGACGAGCGGGTTCTATCCCACTTCTGATGTTATGGCTCGAAAATAGTCGCTCGTATTCAGAACGATATGCATCTCGGAGGAATCAAATTTGAAGGGCGGGAAGGGGGATCGTGTCTTGCAAATTGACAAACACTTTAAGAATTTTCAAACTCGGATATTTTGAGGGTTCCGACCCCGACGACACCTCACCTGAATCGGTCGCTACATGTACACCAAAACTATTGGGTCAAAAACAATTTTTGACACAATAAACACAATTCCGGAATTGCACTAACTCAAAACTCACGCGAGCGCAAGACGAGCGGGTTCTATCCCACTTCTGATGTTATGGCTCGAAAATAGTCGCTCCTATTCAGGACGATATGCATCTCGGAGGATTCAAATTTGAAGGGCGGGAAGGGGGATCGTGTCTTGCAAATTGACAAACACTTTAAGAATTTTCAAACCCGGATATTTTGAGGGTTCCGACCCTGACGACACCTCACCTGAATCGGTCGCTACATGTACACCAAAACTATTGGGTCAAAAACAATTTTTGACACAATGAACACAATTCCGGAATTGCACTAAATCAAAACTCACGCGAGCGCAAGACAAGCGGGTTCTATCCCACTTCTGATGTTATGGCTCGACAATAGTCGCTCCTATTCAGGACGATATGCATCTCGGAGGAATCAAATTTGAAGGGCGGGAAGGGGGATCGTGTCTTGCAAATTGACAAACACTTTAAGAATTTTCAAACTCGGATATTTTGAGGGTTCCGACCCCGACGACACCTCACCTGAATCGGTCGCTACATGTACACCAAAACTATTGGGTCAAAAACAATTTTTGACACAATAAACACAATTCCGGAATTGCACTAACTCAAAACTCACGCGAGCGCAAGACGAGCGGGTTCTATCCCACTTCTGATGTTATGGCTCGAAAATAGTCGCTCCTATTCAGGACGATATGCATCTCGGAGGATTCAAATTTGAAGGGCGGGAAGGGGGATCGTGTCTTGCAAATTGACAAACACTTTAAGAATTTTCAAACCCGGATATTTTGAGGGTTCCGACCCCGACGACACCTCACCTGAATCGGTCGCTACATGTACACCAAAACTATTGGGTCAAAAACAATTTTTGACACAATAAACACAATTCCGGAATTGCACTAACTCAAAACTCACGCGAGCGCAAGACGAGCGGGTTCTATCCCACTTCTGATGTTATGGCTCGAAAATAGTCGCTCCTATTCAGGACGATATGCATCTCGGAGGATTCCATTTTGAAGTGCGGGAAGGGGGGATCGTGTCTTGCAAATTGTCAAACACTTTAAGAATTTTCAAACTCGGATATTTTGAGGATCCCGACTCCGAAGACACCTCCCCTGAATCGGTCGCTACATGTACACCAAAAAATATTGGGTCAAGATATTCAAAAAAGACTGGAATGTAATCCAAACCTGACTAGGAATGATCACTCAAGTACGATAGATCGTAATACTCTTAACCTCAACTTTGATCTCGCTACAAACCGAAAAATAATTTTTGACACAATATACACAATTCCGGAATTGCACTAAATCAAAACCCACGCGACCGTAATACGAGCCAGTTCTATCCCACTTCTGATGTTATAGTTCGAAAATACCCGCTCAAAAAAATTCTTATTCGGGAAGATATCCATCTCGGGGGATTCAAACTTGTAGAGCGGGAAGGGCGGATAGAGTCTTACAAATTGACAAAACACTTCAAACATTTTTTAATCTCGGATATTTTGGGAGGTCCCAACCCCAAGACACCTCCCTGAATCGGAATAATGTTTGACACAATAAACACAGTTCCGCAATTGCACTAAATCAAAATTTACGCGAGCGCAAGACGAGCCAGTTCTATCCCACTTCTGATGTTATAGTTCGAAAATACTCGCTCAAAAAAATTCCTATTCAGGGAGATATGCATTTCGGAGGATTCAAATTTGATGGGCGGAAATGGGAGTATCTTGCAAATTGACACAATACACACATTTCCGCTACTACACTAAACCGTAAGACGAACGAGTTCTATCCCACTTCTGATAAATCGAAAATTCAGACACTTGACATAATAATTAGAAACATCCAAATGAAATAACCTTTATTGTTAATATGTATTACATGACCATAAATAAACCTTTCAAAAAAAAATTCAGAAAAAAGTAGGCGTCTCTAAATCGTCAAAAAACGAAGCGATTTTGTTATCCAATTCTCCGCCGTCTTTGGATCAATTTACAAAACTCGTAAAGCTTTTTCATCCTTCAAAATTTCATAAAAATCGTGACGGTGCTCTCCGAGTTATAAAAGGCTCAAGTATTATTGGACATACACCCAAAAAAAATACTTTAGTGTCAAAGAAACGTTGACCTGCAATTGCTTCCAGAGGTAGAATATTGAAATAACTAGGTTGACGTCATTTTATCTGTGATTCCGAGTTTGCTTATAGATAACCTGCATGTGCCATAGAAAATTTCCACCGATGATTTTTATAGACATACAAACGGATCGATATCTGAAAAATCCAGATAGTTAATTAAATCTTATTTTTTAAGTTTGTGAGTAAGCGCATAAGGAGTTCAAGGAAACTTCAACAAACAAAAACTGGGTCTAGTAATCAGCCGCAAATTCAAGTGTCCTATATTTAAAATCTGTATAAACATCAAATCACTTTGTTTACTAACGTTACTAAGGCTTAGCAGTACTATTATGTATAACGGTGAAACAATCAGGTGTGATAAGGTTTACTGATGAGTTGCAATTACGAAACGCAGAATTTCCTTAAAATTAAACAAAGCTTAAATAAAAAGACCTCTTGTTGATCTGAAAAATGTCAAAAAACAAGGTTTAGAATTTGTGGACCTCTCCTAAAACTGCGCCCAAAATCAGAAACTCAAAAAACGAGGTAGACTGAGAAGCATATTAACAATTGAATAATGTGGAAACGTACGCTATTTGAAGACAAACACTAACATTTCGTAGCACATTATAAAAACCTTGTGCGAAATTTGATTATTGACAAAACATCATTAAATTGCTAGTGATATGAGACATACAAATATTCCAATCTAAAAGAACAATCCATTCTCAAAGCCGTAATTCCGTTTATAGTATTTGCTGTTCTCTTATGTAATGTGTCGTATACATTATATCAGAAGTTGGCTCGATTTTGTGCAAGCGTTCCACAAAGATCGGTTCGGGACCCAATTTAGTTTCTGGCCTCTCTTAAAAAAAAAGTTGAGTACGTACGAACATTCTGCCCGAGTTAAAGATCACGCAAAAACAGTGACAATCCATCGTTGTACTCGTAAAATTGTCGCATATGACCTTTTACTGTCCATTGTTAACCTTGATAAAAAATTCACTCAAGAACAATCACACCAACAAGAGTACAACACAACAATTCAACAACACAATATCGACGAACAGTAACAAGCGTAGAACAATACTAAATGATCACTTGCTGAGTACCAAAATAGGAAACGATTTACAGGCTTGATCGCTAATCGAAATCCGACTCTGTTATTATCCTCCTTTAAAGTAGGGCCGACGACCGTCTAAGACCAGCCCACCCTCGTTTCCTCAGCAGATGGTGCTCGTGATTGTAGGAGCCCCGTTAAACAGGGAATATTTCTTCAAATATTGAAATATTGAATACCAACAAAACACATATCGACCATAGCCAAATGCGAGATTTACATTTAATTATTACAGCGAGGCAAGGTTATCAGCCAGGACGCAATATTTCGGCAAGAGATACCACCTAGCCCGACGATATCTTGTATACCGGTTAATCATCTTGTATTTGCTCTAACAATAATTATCTTCTCGCGAGTTAAGTATCACTGATAGTTGTTTATAGGAGCATCGTGAATCGTTTTGCAACTCATACATAATGGAATCTCAGATTTCAGTCTAGATATAACGCAACCATTGTAGTTCGCTGCGGCGACAGAGACCGAGTCTCGTCTGTTCACCCGCCGTTTGCAAATATTTGGTTGCGCGTCGATATATTTTTTTTTTCGTTTCGCAATATCGCCGAACGAAAATCATCGCCAGTATGACTGTGGTCGAACATGTGCCTTGCAAGGCTATTATGAATACCAGTGTGCCCGGTGTTCTGTTCCAGTCGCTGGCAGTTTTCTTAGGTGAGTTTAGTTATTTTAGGACTGTTTTGTAAGCTATACTCATCTGTGTTGAGCCTTGGTCGGCACATTTCCTTACGTGTAAAAAGGTCTTGCAGAATAGAACGAATTGCTGGTGCTTGAAGGTTTAAGGTCTCCTCTATCTGTTAGTATGTCACTCTCCGGTCTTCATCAATCATTTGCCTCACAACAGTACTGACGTTCGCGAACATCCTTCTCTCTCAGTGTCTTGCATGCATATAGTCGGAAGATGAGGACAATCATTCTTTAATACAAGCGTCGTTTCTTCTAAATACTGGTCTATGCTTAAACCACGCGTAAGGTTATATCGTAAAGCTGCTCGTATCTCACTGCGTGCCCACGATGCACTTTGCACTGTCAATACGAATGAACGACTAAATCAACAGACGTGCTGGCAGCTACTATGCACGCATGGACATGTCTCAACGTGCGGCAACATGCAGCTTCCTGCGTCATATTGCAAAACTTTTACAGTACCTACCCTTTGGTCAAGATCCTGCAAAATGTTGGTCATTTGTTGTTGCTAGAAGGAAAAATTCCAGAATCCCAGAAAATATGATATATACTTTGAAGTTGAGTCATTTATTTTAACAGTGAGTAGATCTTATCAAAAGAAATGTTTTTTCCTTTACCATTTTTCTGGTAAAATTAAAGTAACAAAGTTATAGCCCTTTGGAAGTTTGAGTACCGCCCTGTCTCAATAATAATATTATGTGCTCGTGTTTGGCAACAACGGATATAATCCGCCTTATCGGTTCATCGCATCGGAAACAAAAAAGCGACAGAATTTGGAACGATGTTTTTACAATTATTTTATTCAGTTGTATACAGTCAGTGTCAGTCGGTAACGCGTGAGTGAATAGTGGTGTCTGTTGCGTGGCTCAAACGAAATCAAAAATGGCACATGTTTACGAAAATGCTGAACTTGTGGACAAGATTCTTATTTACGCGGCATCACGAATTGACGCGGATCGGTTTCCCGATCGAGTGCAACCAACCCCTCGTGCCTTTGTTAATGTAGTACAAAGGGCTCGTGAATCAGGTGACTTAAGACCTCACAGGGGAGGACATGCCGGTGCTCCAAGACCGCACGATCAAATACATGTCCGCACTGAAATACTTGTCGGGAGGATACTTTATAAAACAAGGTAACATTTTTTTTTTATTTTTACACACATATTTTGGTTTATCTTCCTTCTACAATCATTATCTGAAAATTAATGACTCAACTTCAAAGTCACCCTGTATAAAGACAGTCAATATAGCTCGACTAGGGAGCTAGTAGATGCTTTTGCAGAATACTTTTCAACAGTTTTCACAAAATCTGATGCATGTAACAGCAAATTATTAAACTCCGCTAGCAATTATTGAATTGAACAGTATCAGCGAAGGTGATATTATTCGCGCTTCTAGGAAACTAAAAAACAAAATGACTTCGGGATTCGGTGGTGGTCCCAGTTTTATAGTAAAATATTGTATTTATGTGTAGGCTAAGCCAGTGCGAGCGATTTTCAATCTAATGCTATCAACATGTACATATCCTCGATCTGGAAAATGACGATGTCTTGTATGGCTCTGTGAGAGAATATACAGGGTGGCGCATCGAAAACGAGGCAGACGCATTTAGTGGCAGCTCAGCTTTTTTTGGAAAAAAGGTTCAGACCCATCGATTTTGTTTTCGAGGGGGACCCAAGTTTGACAAAAAATCACGTTAATACGTGGAGCCCCCTGGGCGGGGGTGACACCAACCCTAAAATCTTAAATGGAAAGGGGGGTCGAGTGATACCTTATTTTAAAGGACTTCCAATTCCCTTTATAATGACGTAAAATACATGAGCTTCAGCTCAGTAGTTAAGAACATTTATTGATTTAAAGCTTTAAATCGGAATGATCGGCGATTCATTGCGAATAGGTTGATGTTCCAACAGGATGATACCCCACCACATTACGCATTACGTGTTCGACAACATTTAGATCAGACGTTTCAAGATCGATGGATTGGTAGAAGAGGTGCCATTGAATGGCCCTCAAGATCGCCAGATTTATCACCTTTGGATTTCTTTATGTGGGGTCATTTAAAAAGCAAAATCTACGCTACTCAGCCAACATCATTAGAAGACCTGCGACAAGGAATTTCTGACGTTTTGGATGATCAGGGTCAATTGGATGTGATATACACTGACCTGCAAAAGGCCTTTGGCCAAATAGATCATTACTCGTTATTAGTTAAGCTCAAATCTGCTGGCTTGTTCATATATCCTGGAAAGGAACATGTACGTGGAATATGAAGGCTATCAATCCAAGACTTGTACTGCCACATCTGGTGTACCTCAAGGTTCCAATTTAGGACCTTTGTTGTTCGTAATCTTCATCAATGATTTATCGCTGTCTTTGCACATGCATACTTTATGCTGATGATTTTAAAATGTATGCTGTTAGGAATGATCTCTATCACTACATTCTGTTGCAAAACTGCGTAAACTTTATCCACTCGCGGTGCTCTAACAATCAACTTGATATTAAAATTTCAAAGAGCAAGGTTACGTCGTTTACTAGAAAACTACATGGTATCATGCAATGAAACAACAATGAAACAAACATTTTATCAGCGGATATTTCAATGATAGCAAATATGTTTACAAGTTTTTATTAAAATTCAATAAATAAGTCTGGGTGTTGCATTTTATATGTCACTTAGTATGTAATGTAATTAGGTGTATACTAAGTGACATATAAATCCGAACACCCAGTTTAAATGGTTTTATTTTAATAAAATTTTGTATAAGTACTTAATGAAGCATAATAAGTAAATGATAAAAATTTCAAAATGATTGCACTGCTTTAAAGCCCTTTGACCTTTAATAATGTGTGGATGCACCCTGATGTGCTACGCATTCTCCAACGCGCCTAGGCATGCTTCTGATCAGGTGGTCAATGTCCTCCTGTGGTATCTCATTCCAGGCAACCACCAACTCCTCTCGAAGTGCTTCTAGAGTCTGAGGAGGACGTTGCAAATTGAGCAATCTCCTACCCATCATATCCCACACGTGCTCAATTGGGGATAAGTCGGGAGATCTTGGTGGCCATGGTTACAATGTGACATCATTATGTTGAAAGAAGTCTATTGTGACTCTTGCAACATGTGGTCGGGCATTATCTTGTTGGAAAGTTGAATCTGCCAGGGTGTCAAGATAGGGTAAAAGATGGGGTTCTAGAACTTCGTGGATATAACGCTGCGCGTTCATGTTACCTCTGATGAAGATTAAAGGTGACCTGGAACCATAAGCTATAGCACCCCAAACCATAACTCCAACAGTGTGATGAACATGTCTTTCAACAAAAAACTGTGGATTCCTCCTTTCACCACGTCGCCTTCTAACCCTGGCACGACCATCGTGCATGCCTAAACAAAATCGAGACTCGTCACTAAAGACAATATTGTTCCATTCCTGATCCCAGAGTGACCGTTGTCTGCACCACTCAAGGCGATTACCTCGGTGTTTTCGAGTTAAATGGAGGACCCAGTGTGGCCGGTATGAAAACAAGCCAAAACGTCTCATTCGTCGGTAAACACTTCGCATGCCAATAGGTCTTCCGTGTTCTGCAAACCATTCATTTGCAATGGACCTGGTAGTGGAGAAACGGTCCCTTAAGGCCAATAATCTTAGGCAGCTATCTTCACGGTCAGTTGTTCTACGGCGGCGTCCAGTTCCCCTTGCTCTTTGCGTACGGCCTTCTCGAAGCCATGCCTGACAACACCTAACCACAGTGTCTACGCTTCTTTGCACTCTAACTGCAATTGCCCGAAAAGAAAGTCCAGCTTCCCGAAGTCCCACTATACGGCCCCTATCAAACTCACTAAGTTGACGAAATCGTACAGGTCTCCGTACTCTAGGCATCGTAACCGATCGTAAAGGATATCAAGAACCAAAATCCGCCAACGTTGATACTTTACTGCGGCTGAAATATTCATTTTTAGAGCGTTAGTGAATTAAAAAAAAGCAGTATAAAAACCGGAATGTCCAACTGATAAGGCTGAAAATTTTTTCACTTGTTATTTACAGTAAGATAAATACATTCACCAACTTTTATTAAAATAACACCATTTAAACTGGGTGTTCGGATTTATACGTCACTTAGTATATAAGTAAAGAAATAAATCGAAAAAACTAAAAATCGCCCAAACTTCGTTTTTTTGACGATTCAGAGAATCCTTATCATTTTTGAAAAAAAGTCAGTGGTAAAAATACACACATCATAGACTTGGAAAAATATTTTCGACATATGTGATAGAGATCATATACAGGATGTTTCCAAAATATGGGACAAAAGTTCAAGGCGTGATTCTAAGGGTTTTGATTCTTTGACGATTTTTCGAAAATCGCTTAGAAACGCATAACAAAAACTCTGTTTGCAAAAACTGTTCAAAATAACTTTCAAGAGGCCAAGTGCTGAACAGAATCCTTTATGTACTGATACTCGTAACGGCACAGCCTGGAAAATAAATAATTGATATTTATTTATTACCATTATATACTAAGTGACATATAAATCCGTACACCCAGTTTAAATGGTTTTATTTTAATAAAAGTTGGTGAATGTATTTATCTTACTGTAAATAACAAGTGAAAAAATTTTCAGCCTTATCAGTTGGACATTCCGGTTTTTATACTGCTTTTTTTAATTCACTAACGCTCTAAAAATGAATATTTCAGCCGCAGTAAAGAATCAACGTTGGCGGATTTTGGTTCTTGACATCCTTTACGATCGGTTACGATGCCTAGAGTACGGAGACCTGTACGATTTCGTCAACTTAGTGAGTTTGATAGGGGCCATATAGTGGGACTTCGGGAAGCTGGACTTTCTTTTCGGGCAATTGCAGTTAGAGTGCAAAGAAGTGTAGACACTGTGGTTAGGTGTTGTCAGGCATGGCTTCGAGAAGGCCGTATGCAAAGAGCAAGGGGCACTGGACGCCGCCGTAG